ATCTTTCTCCTGAGGATCAGCTGGTGGTTTTGAACTGCTGACCTTACGGATCGCATCCCAATGTATGTGTAACCCACTATGCCATCAGGGTTCCTTTTCAAATCTCTTCCAGGACTCCCTATGACCTATACATAATGTCCCAAATTACTGCGGTCAAGGCCTTTCAGGATCTGAACCACATTTACCTACCACTACCTCCTCTCCTATTGTCTCCACCTCAGCTACAATGGACTTCTGCTTTCTACCTCCAAGCCCATCTCTATGGCCCGAAGGGCAGGACTCCAGAGTGTTCATCTCTGCGAGTCCCCAGTACCTGACACGGTGTTTGACACATGGAGATACTACGTGGACATCTACCTGTGCAGCTCAACGAGGAATCCTGCCCTTTGATCATTTTGAAAGCTCATGAGTATATCATATTAGAATCTTGCCAGGGCACATTTTTGTCCACTTATTACAGCGCATCTTTATTAAGCCAGCTGTTGGAGGCGTGGGCCCTACCCAAGGGAAACCACCACAACACGCTGCAAACAGGCAGTTAGGAGTGCGTTTGCTTTTCATCGCTCCTCCCAGCAGGACAGCCTCCGCCTCCTCCAGCCTGGAGTCCCCGGGAGATCCCTAGACCTCCCCTAAGGCAGAAAAAACAGGTAACATCAGGCAGGTCCTTACCAACTCAGGAAGTGACTGCCTCCCTGGGGCCAAGTTCAATTGCCCTGAAAGGGCAATTCTCCGGGGTGGTCACTGGTGGCACGGATGGAATTTAAACTGGAAAAATGAGATTCCAGGAAAAAAAAAAAAGAGCCAGTCTCCAACTACTCCATGGTGAGCCCACCTGACGGGCATTCGCCCACCTCTAGCCTGTGAAGCTCTGAACCACTTAACCACAGCCTTACCCACGTGCTACGCTGTACGCTCTCAGGGTGGAAGGCAGCTGGGAAGGGGCCCTTTTCTTCTCTCCAGAGAGGCAAACGACATCCTCCTGACCTCTCACCCTCTAGCAAGACCCTCCCAAAGTAAAGGCTCAGACTCTGCTCTCCCAGAGGCTGTCCAGAGCCCCAGCCTCCAATTCACGGTCTTGCCACTCCTGGCTTCCCGGAATGTGAGCCTCTGCTGAACCCCAACTACTCTCCTCCACCTGCCACTCAGCTCGGCCCATGTCTGTCTCACCTTCTCCATCTGCAAGACCCCACCCACGCCACACCCCGAGGCAGCCTTCAGACCAGGTGCAAGTCTCCCTCCTACAGGAGAGCCTCGCTGTAGAGCGAGGGAAAGCGCTCAGTAGGCCCAGGTAACATCCTCCTGCAAGTCCTGTGTGCTGATTGGATAGGGGATTGGCTGGGGAGCACAGTGCTGTGCCTCCCCCAGCCCCGTCCCCTCCCCCCCCAGCCCCCACCAACCTGCAGAAAGCATGGAGGAGGCAGTGCCTGAGCCAGGCAACAGGACAGGTGAAAACTAACATTTACTGAACTCCCACTAATACCACACAGTGTCTCCACACTCACCCTCGCAACAATCTCATTAGGAAGATATGATCATCCGGTCTTTTATAGACAAGGAAACTGAGGCCCGTTGCTGGGAATGGTTATGAGGCTTCCTGAGTCACATACAGTAGGCCGTGGAGCCAGAATTCGAACCTATGTCAATGATCTTCTCAGACCTTATAAAGGGACATCTTCCTCTCCTGCTCCACTGCTGCCGCTGTCCCGGTGATCTTGACCCCAGCCAGGCCTCCGGCCACAGAAAGCCCCTTTCCATTCCCCACAGAGAGGCAGTCCTGCCACCAATGGAGAGACCTGGGGAGACAGGGATCCAGTCCCTCCCCCCAGCTCCAACCTCCATGTCACCGGCCTCCAGCCAGAACCTGTTTCACCCTCGCCCTTCCCTCCCCTGCACCTGTTTTCTTTCAGCCGGGCTCCCGCTCCAGTGTGATGTGGCCCTGGCACAGTGGGGCCCGCCCTGTAGGGCCACGTATTTGCTAAACAGGCTGGGCTGGTGGAAACTGTTTTCTCATGGTGACAAGGGGCAGGAGACGTCACTGGGACAGCCAGGCTCCTGTGTGGGCCTGTCCCATCATACCAGCAGTACGCTTGGCTCTCCCTGTTCAATACTGCCAGCTCCACAGTTCAGTACCACCGTCCTCCTCACAGCCTCCCTGGGCAGACAGAGCAAGGACAGGCACCCGCCCAGGAGGCAGCAGACAGAGAACCAGGGCTCTCTTTCTGCCCTGCCTCTAGGGGGCATGTAGCCATGATGCCCGCAGGCGCACTGAGGACTGGGTGGGCCAGAATCTCCGGAGATCTGGGATCTGTCTGAGTGGTGTTTTCCAAACATTGGAGCAATCTATTCTCACTGCCATGGAGACAATCCCAACTCAGGGCAACCCTGTAGGACAAGGTAGAACTGCCCCTGTGGCTTTCAGAGATGGTCACTCTTTACAGGGATGGAAAGCCTCAGCCTCCCACAAAGTGGCTGGTAGTTTTGAACTGTGCAGTCCGATGGGTTAGCAGCATCAGGGGTCCTTTTACTATGTGATAAAACCAATTTAGTGACTCAGAGCCCGCACTTCCATAAAACAAAAAAGAATGTAACAGGACAACGCCAGCATGCATTGCATTTAGTAAGAGTACGTATTATTGCATGACCCTTGTATTCCAAGGATAATAGCTACAAACCCGTCTCCAGATCACAGTGTGGAATATGAAAGCCACTGCACTAGGACCTTAGCGCACAAACCCGCCACAGCTCGGGCCTCTGCCGCCTGGCTGGCATGAAGAGGTCAGGGCACCGAGTGTGCTGCCCAAGCCCAAACGGAACAGCAGGTTCCTCAGGAGAGGCAGGCCTGGCTTTGCTGAAGGAGAGCATATGAAAATCCTACAAATTGGACAGGTGATGGCTAGACTGGCCCAGCCAGGTGCTGTCTGGCTGGAGGCAGGGGAAGGTCAAGGAGGGTGACGGCCCTCCCAGGCCCCTCCCACACCCAGCTAGGGGCGATGACTCACCCTGTAAGGCATTCCTGCTGCGTGTGCTGCGTGACTTAAGACAGGTGCTGAGCAGCTCCTGGATAGCCCAACGGCCTGGGCTGCCTCCTTCCTTCCTTCACACCCATGGGGCCCCAACCTCTCTCTGGCAGAAGCTGACAGCCCCGCTGTCAAACCCCACAGTGCTCAGCACGAGGGGCTGGCCATGGTAGGATGGCTCCCCTTCCCGGGACTGGGCAGCGGCTGACCCCTGTGCTAGGTCCTCACGAGGGGCAGAGTACCAGCCTGGGACCCAGGGCATCTGCAGCCATACTGAGTCCCACAGCTCCCCACTCGGGGCACCCGGGAATGGTGTATGTCCCAGACCCTGGGGGAGGGCGAAAGACAGGGCTTTCTACTCCTGTAAAAGGTTAGTCTTGAAAACCCACCAGGGCAGCTCTACTCAGTCCTATAGGGTCACGAGGAGTTGTGAGGTTTTCTGTTTTGTTTTCTTGGGGCAGAGGGACAGCGGGACAATGGAGTGGTCAGGGGAGACTTTTGCTTGAAGAGATGATTGGTAACAAGCTCTCTGTGGCCAACTCTAAAAAACGTGGCAAGAGCTGCTGGCTTGCCATGGGGTCGATACCTGAGGCCACGCTGAAGTGTAACCACAGCCTCGCCGGGGACCTCCCCGGAGCTATGGAAACCCTGGGTCCAGCCAGGTTTCATGGGCAAGAGGGACGGTAAGGTCACATGGAATTCGAGCTGACATTCTTAGAGGAGCCTGGGGCCTCGCTTTCCTGATGAATTCTTCTGGGGGAATCAGGCTGAGACGAGGCTCATGTTTCGGTTTGGAACCTGAGGCCCCACAGCTGATGGAGATCCTGTTCCGGGGACAATACTTGGCATTTCAGCATCCAATGGCATTTCCCAATGGGTGTGACTTGGCTGCAGAGGAAATGCTGTTCCTAGGTACCATTCTAGTGGGAAAGGGGCTTACGTGTTGATAGCTGGACATGAAGGTATTGTCTCTGTTCTTGGTACTCTCTCGAGAAAAACCAAGCCTTTGGAATCACTTAATTTGGAGAAAATTAATTGGACGCCAGCCAGATCTGAGCCCTGGGGAGGGCCCAAGCCACCCCTGAGGCAACTTTCCAGCACCGGCTCGTGGGTAGCCTTGGCAGTTGCTTAGATATTAATTAAGCCATTGATCCCCCAAGTGTGCAGGCATCACCAACAAGCATGTGCCACTTTCTGCCAGAGCCGGGTGACAGAATCCTCATGCCTTGGCTGTGATGGCAGCCATGCCGGGATCCCTGCTGCCTGAGGCACCAGCCTTTTGACCATGGGGTGAGGCTACTCTGATGGATCACCTCTGAGGTGCTGTGGCTGGTGGTGCACAGGCCTCACCTGGGGTGCAGTGGGCCCCTTGAGTCTGGTCCTGCCCACAGATGGTCAGAGCCTGAGTCCTGTCTCTCCAGGTTAGACTGGGCGAGGAAGTTAACAGGGAAAGGGACTGGGAAGGGGACCTGGAATATGTGAACTCTCTCCGGTGCAGGGCATCGTCACTGCACAGCTACACACACACACACACACACACACACACCGGTGCA